TAATATATCCCAGTCAGCACATGGATGTCCCAAGGACGTCCTACGGATGTCATCCTTGGATGCTCTGGACCTCCCAGGGCTGTCCTACAATTTCCCATGGACCTCCATAGGACGTCCATGGACTTCCAAATGGTGCACTTTTGTATGTCCAGAGACCGTCCCACTGAGGGTCAAAATTGACCTTATATGGATGTAATTGGCCCTTATGTGGATGTTTAAATAAAACCCATAAAATATGTAAAAATAACTTTATTTTTGTGAAAAAGTAGATAACTGATTAAAATTTAAAAAAAAACTGATAAAAACTGTAAAATAAATTATTGTACTTATAAATTTGCACTTTTTGACCTTCTTTGAACTTTATTTCCAATTCGGCCTTTGCAATGTTTGAGCCATGATTTTATCGCCATTTCAACATTTAGCAGCTTTTTTACTGCAGCTGGAATCACATTATTTTGGTAAAAAAATACATACAAATTGATAAACTTACTGATTACAGCCTGTTAAATACTTAAATTTTAAAAACTTTTTTTTTCATTTCTCTTTCCTTCAAAGTTATTGTGAGGCATCTTTTTACTGCTTCATAGGGTTTCTCTCCTCCAGTATTATATAAGAAGTCCACCTATAAAAATTGTAAAGTTGGTCGCAAACATTACATAGGTATATGCATATTATATATATTACTTATTCATAAATTAGGGTGGTACAGTTGTATTCAATAAAAAAGCGTACAAGAATTAGAATGAGAGAAAACTGTCAAAATAATATTATTGCTTAAAACCGGCTTATCACTGACATAAGTCATTAAAATAATTATTATAGGTTATAAAGAGCTTTGACGTCGTAGGTTAATTAAATAATATTACAAAAATTATTACCTTTTAATAATGAAAAAAACAAACATTAAAAAAAATTTAATAATTAGTCATGCATCCCTGTTTTTCTATTACTTGAGCCAATCTATTTGGGATGAACTGAATTAAATTTAATACAATATTTGGATTAATATCTTCCCAGCAGTATGGTAGGTATAGTCTAGTTGTATAGTTTCCCATAAATCCTCAGATATCTCAAAAAAGCAGCATCCTGTTCAGGGGTGGACATTTTGGGACGACCTGAACCAACTTTTTGGTTTAGTAAATCTTCCTGTTCCCAGCGTTGCTTAATTTTTATTATAGATTTTTTATTTCTATTATACCACAGTACGAATTGACCATTCTTCTTCGATTCTTGATACTATTTGAGCCTTTTTAACTGACGAGGCATTTTTATTTTTTACTGTCAGTTATAGTGACTTAAGTCAGTGGAAAGCCGGTTTTACGCAATAATGTTGACAGTTTTCTCTCATTCTAATTCTTGTACGCTTTTTTAATGAATACAACTGTACTTACCTATAGGTATATGTATACATTTTTATTATTCATTAGCACTAAAAAGCACAGAACTACGAACCGGTAACCGGTCTTTTATCAAAAATCACAAAATGGCAAACACGGTGGAGCATCCAGAGTCTCTGATAAAGAAGGCATCTGTTTTGTGCGGTGAGGAAGCAGTGCAACGTTGCCAGGTTGGGCGATTTGACAACTGCCAATCGGTCTAAAAATTTAAAATTGGCGACAATATGGGCGAGTTCAGATAATTTTTTATAAAGACCTTCTTTATTTGCTGCTTTTAACAGTTTCTATTTACTTAATTTGTTTTTATACCCACTCAGTTTTTAAAAAATTGCGCGAATGTTATTTTTACCAATCAGGTTTTATAAAATCTCGTTCATATTGGATAAAGCTAGTAGATATAAATATTTATCTACATGCCCTAATCTTGGAGACTCTTTGTTGGTAATTCTGACGCCAGTTTGGCAACTTGTAAAAAAAATGGCAACACTGCCAACGCTGTACAGTAAGCTAAATTTAGACGTAATTTTTTTTATTTGACAACCTTCCTTATCTCTGTTTGACATGTTTGATATAAAAATATTAAATATTAGATTTTGCTTAAAAATATATTGATTATAGATTTAGCAAAAAAATGATTTTTGTATTTTTTGTTTTATATTACATATATTTTATGTTTTAATACAAATATATTGAATAAGTTTAATCAATTAAATGAAATACAAATCTTATTTTTGCTCCCCAGCAAAAATCAAACATTGTCCTAAACGGATGTTCGGTGGATATCCACAGGATGTCCAACTCGGAACGGCCGAAATAGACTTAAAAAGGAGATCCGTGGGAAATCCACAGTATGTCCAAGTCGGAACGTCCCAAATGGACCTAATCAGGAGGTCCATGGGAAGTCATGTGCTATCTGGGATTTAATTTAAATAAAAAAGTAAACTTATATTTGATTTGAATTAAGAGTACCTACCTATAATATTGTTGTGTATATACTTATAACCATAAAAATGTTGATTATTTAATGTAAATAATTAAATTTTTGTGTATGCTCTTAAAATAGTAATTTATTTAAAACAAACATACAACATTGGATTAATTTATAAGCGCAATAGAATAATTTATATTGCGCTATAAATAATAAGATTTACCAGTCTTTTTGGCTAATGTCAAAGGGCCATTTGAAGCATGAAAAAGGGGAAAATCATAAAACTGTTTTTATAAAAAATATTGTAGGTAATATAGTAGGTATTTTTTATTTTGGCAAACAATTGTTAAATATATTCTTCTTTTATTAGGCCGTACAATAAATAAAAGAAACACAAGCAATACTTCTACAAAAGTAGAGATAATTTTAATAATTGATAGTCGACAAAAGAATTTTTCTGCTGAATAAAAAGGGGACGGCAAAACTGTTCAAAAAAACCTCAGGCCGGCTTTGACAATCAGTAATTCATATGAAACTGTCTTGCATTACCTCGATAATACATTAATTTTCCTGTTAGGAACGCAACATTTTCTTGGTATTTTTTATTTATTTATAATGTTATAAAAGCACCAAACTAATGCAATAATTAAATTAACGTTAAATCAAGCGATATCAATGGAAAAGCAATAGATAATTTATATGAAACCGTCTTTTTATACATTAATTTGCCATTGCAGTCGGCCTCCTGACGTCACGCCTCTCACTACCACACTCTCGCCTGGGATAGAGAACGCCGTGGTTGTACATGACTACCCTTGTTATTGTTATCCTTAGCCGTTAATTCGTAAGCGATTTATAATTTAAAAAAATCAGTGGTTTACCCCAGCGTTGCCAGATAAAAAAATTTCATGTCGCCACCAGAGGCGGCGAAAGTCGCCAAAATAAAGTAAAAGTCGCCAGTTTTTTTAAGAACATTTTTTTGTGAATTTTTACTTGTAAAATAAAAAAATAACTGAACATGTTCACGCATGATTTTTATTTACACATTTCTTTATTCTGCCGCGAAATTTGAGCGCTACGTTCCGACAGCGCAGTGCGTTCGCAATTTTGCATTAACCATCGACATAAACATATGTTTTATGTCGATGAACCTATTTATATTATTCCGATCATAGCTTTGTTGAGTCAAGGAGAATTATTTTTCCCTCCTTGGGTCTGACGCCGGTCTAGCGCCGAAAATCGCCCAAATGGCGACTTGTGATTTTTGTAAATTTATGGTCGCCAGTGCGAGTTAAAAATCGCCCAATTTGTGATAAATCGCCCAATCTGGCAACACTGGTTTACCCCTCGGTTTTGCGTCGCCGACGTTACGTTGACAACGCTTTGTTGCTATGGTATTTTTGGTAATACCAACATAACAGTTATAATAAGCTGTCATAATGTTTATCATAAATTCAATAGTTGCAATCATATAACTATAATAGGGGTATCAATCCCGGGATCCCGAAATCCCGGGGTCCCGGGATCCCGTAAAAAAACCGATCCCGAAAATCCCGGGATTAAAAGTCACAATCCCGGGATCTTAGTAATAAGTTACAAAGAATAAAATAGACTTTTTTTTAAGCGTATGACATTTTTCATATTATAATAGGTACTCATAAGCATATATATAAACACTTCATTTTTTTACTCACTTCAAGTCAAATTATTATACACCACCGTACAATAATGAAAATACATTGAAATTACATAGCAAGAGTGGTTCCATCTATAGCATAAAATCAGCAAAGAAAATGTAAAATTACAGGTCACTGTAGAATAAATTTATGCACATAACCTATAATATAACATATTTCAAACGTCAAACCTGAAAAAATGACACAAACTTGATAACTTCAATGTAAGTTACAGCCCCAATTGGAACTCACCAAGGCCCGATTGATAAAAGAAATGGAATTATTTGTTAATGGAAGTAAACGTGGGTACAATGTGCCTACGAATTCTTGAAAACCATTCTTCCGACTAGTGTGAAGTCCGAAAGATATCGTTCGTTAGTTTAATTAATGATATATATTTTTTCGGGACTGATCCCGGGATCCCGGGATTTGTTACCTTTGGTCCCGAAAGGCCCGGGATTGGAAAATGGGCTCGGGATTGACACCCCTAAACTATAACTAGTTATAGCTATACCTAGGTATATGGTTGCAATTAATTTCCTTCCTTAAAAATATAAAAATAGTGAATATGAATATAGTTTGTTAAAAGAATGTTAAAAGAATGGTTGGACAAGCGCGGAGCAAATCTTTTTCCTACAAAATCAAATAAGGCTAGACAAGGTACAAAAACTCTTGCCAATGTAAAATTTAAAAAAAAAGAGGGAGGAAATTTTGTTTCCTCCCGGGGAGGAAAAGAGGCATTCCTCTCTCGCTCGGGTGTGGAAAAATAAGTTTTCTAGTAAGGTAGTAGAAAATTTCATCTTAAAATCTTACGTCTATGTTACGTCTACGTACAACTATAAATCCAGCTTTACTTAACACTTAACTATATACATATAGGGCCATATGGGACTAGTGCCTTACTTAAATTTAATAATTTGATACTAAAGCATTGTAAAATAGCCAAGGATTGTAAAATTTAATAAAAATACTGTAGCCCAACCCAACCATAGCTAAAACATTTAGTTACATTTATGCAATCTAGGTGGCAACATGTTTGTATTAAGAATAATACATCCGTTAAGTTCGTGTAAAAATATAACCTCAAATATAATCAAATCCTCCTTGTCTAAAATACAATTGTGTTATTCTAAGAACGTGTCTACTATGTCAACTTATACTATTGTAGAAAGGGGGTCACCTTTTACTCCAGATTACCGAGTTTATATACGTACGTATCATTAATGTACTTGTACTTTGTACCTTTGTACTGTGTGTTACAAATTAACTTTATTTACTTCATATTGTATTCTACAAGGTGCTTCTAAACTTGGTGGCATGAATTTAGGAGCAGTAATTAAAATCGAAATATTTTTCTTTTTACACAAAATAGGTTAGATTCTCATAAAATAGGTTAGATTAGTACGAAATAACCTTGAAATAACGTAATTTAAAAAAAGAAGTTGGCCAACTATTAAGTTGTCTTAAATTACATCACTGTATGAACGTTACAAAGGATTCTTAGGTTTAAGTTAAATTAAATTACATCTTAAATGAAATTAATTTTCTGTTAAAACCAGGCTTTACTTTTCATATCAGTTTTTTTAATATAACTTCTACCATGGTAGACTTGGAAAGGTGATATTTTCCGAACAGTCACTTACTACCAATACACATATTCACACATAATTACGATGGTTTGAGTCACACACGGAAAAAAATTGTTGTGGAAAGTCTACAATTGTAGAATTTTTTGGTAGAAATTGTTTAAAAAATACGAACAAGAACAATTTGTTAGAAATAATTTAACAATTTTGTAATAAAAATAAACAACAATTTATTGAAGATATAATTATACATTGTAGTTAAATTACTACAATTTCTGTTTGAAATTAATATTGTTATATATTTTAATACAATATTGTATTGACTAATGCAATTCTTTATTAAAAATAATACAGATTTGCCGTGCTCCAAAATTGTGTACTTTAAATAAATTATACGTTGATATAAATGCTTTAAGTTTTAGTTAATTTCAAAACAATTGTATTAAATAATTAAACATTTTTTTTACAATATGGTTGTTGTAAAATTTAATTTAATTTTTTTTTCCGTGCAGAACATATATAAGGTTTGAGTGATCACTAGGGATGGGATATTTAGGTACTAAAAACTGAAAAATAGGTAACTAAAAAGGTACTAAAAAAAAGCATTTTAGGTTAAAAAAACAGCATTTTAGGTAAAAAAAATCATTAAAAGTTTAAGTTTCGTTTATAATTTTGTTTAGCCGCATACCCAAACACAAAACATACCCACAATAAACTATTTCTATGCAATAAACTGTGTTTTACTGAGTGACACTCACTACACAGAAGTTCTATGACAGAACATAAGCTCACTAGTAGTGAGTAACTACAAAGAAGGTAACTGTAAAGAAAGTTACTGTTACAGTCTGTAACCATAAGAAAAAATTCTATACCGTTGAGTTGCACGCCCTGGATAAAATATTGGCGCAAATTTTAAAAAGAACAAAAAAAATAAAATAAGTAAAAGTACGTAAAAATAGGTAACAAATATGTGAAAATAAACTGACAAATTAAAAAATATGTAACAAAAGTATAAAAAGGTAGTTTAAAGCAAAAACCTCCAAAAAAGGTAAAAAAGGTGAAAAAAAGTTAAAAAAATAGGTAACAAAAGTATAAAAAGGTAGTTAAAAGCAAAAACCTCCAAAAAAGGTAAAAAAGGTGAAAACAAGTTAGGTTCATATAAAAGAAAATCTTTTAAAACACATTTTGGCATTATTGGTTTTTAAATAGTTACATCGGTTAAAAAAAGGTAAAATAACTAAAATCCCATCCCTAGTGATCACAGTCAAAGATATCTTTGATCACAATGTTGTAAAAACGGGCGTTGCTTAAGCTTTTTGTCCCAAACAAACTTTGAGGTTAGGTTTTTATACCATTTGATGCAATTTTTCGTTTACCCAGTTTGGCTACTATTAAAAATGTGTACCTCTTAAACTTCGATTAAATAAACCGTTTCTGAAATATTTAAGATTACAATAATTGTTATATCGCATTTAAGTATTAAAATTTATAGTTATAATAAATTTTTTTATTTTTTAATTGAAAAAACTAAAATTTCCGAGGCTCATGAAATGCCCTTTTTAGTTTTTTCAATTAAAAAATAAAATTTACCTTCTAATCCTTTAATGCGATATAACAATTATTGTAATCTCGAATAACTCGGTAACCTGCTTAAAATACCCCAGAGAGACCTATACAAAATAATCTATCGGGCGCTACCGGATTCAATATGTGCATTTGTCCATGTTTTTTTTCCGGACACGACCCGATAGAGAATTTATAGGAATTTACCTATAGGCACACCATAACTTTTACATTTTCCCTATTGAGACCGATAGCAAATAACTCAACGAAGGATATAAATTGATATCCCTATAGAGCAACCATTTGACAAAATTTTATTAAAACCTATGGGGTCCTATGGGGGAAAAACCTTTGAATAAAAAACCTCAGGAAGGAGTAAATGATAGAAAATAGCTGACCGCACAGGGGTTAACCAATTGGTCGCCACAAATGGCGGACTATCGTTTCCGCCAGCTATAACGTTTAATTCTTTGAAAGGTTTATATACAAAAGTGCTCTTTTAGTTCCACCCTTACTTCTTAAGAAGTCCCATAAGCCAACTGAATGGCTTGTGCAGGTTAGGGGTAGGAACGGACCGCGGGCTAAAATTCCCCTCCGAAGGACTATTACACAATAGGACAAACATTATTAAACAACAAAAACGCATAGAACAAAACATAAGCGCGATAAAATAACGAAAAAACGCTATTAAACAAACCAAAAACGCTCAAAAAGGTAAATAAACAAACACAAACTGTCATCTGTCAGAAAAAATGACTCATAATCCGACTCCTAAAATGTTAACTTCCATCGTAAATTTATTACATTAACGAGATTCGGCAGGGTCCTTCCTGAGGTTTTTTATTCAAAGGGAAAAACTAATTTCTACATTTATGTGTATTTTCCCCATTGAAACCAATAGCAAATAAATCAAGGGTGGATATCCCTATAGAACAACCATAAATCCCAACTATGGGTCCTATACATACCGATACACCCTATAGAAACACCATACATTCCGATACAAATATCTATCAGTTTGAACATGGTCTCTATGGGGTATTTTAAGCAGGGTAATGGTTTATTTTATCGCAGTTTGATAGGTACTGTAACACCTTTTTAATAGTAGCCAAACTAAGTCATGGGCGTCCTATCGAGGGCCCCCTATACGCGATTCAAATAATTTTTGTTTTAATATTAATTAGACTGATTAAAAAATCAACTATTTAATAGTTGCAAAAAGGTAAAACATTGATTCTATTAAAATTTCAGCTCCTAATATTATTATAAAGAGGCCCCCCATCGAGATTTTCTATTTTTCATTTAAATAGCATGGAAAAAAATTATAATTTATTTTTTTAACGAAAAAATGGACTTCAATGAAAACAACATATTTTAAAAATATAATTTTATTATATTATTTAAAGTAAACTCTCTACAAAGAGGTCTCTTATTATTTTATAATAAATATACTTGTTCAAAAGTTATTTAAGCTTAAAATTACATTTCTTCAAATATGGGTTTTGGAATTATAATTATATTTTATTTACTTGATGTATGCTGGGTTGCATACATTCGATGCATATATTTATTATTTTATTTTTTGCTAATTTGTTGTTAAATACGCAAGCTCGCACGCGGAGTCTAAAAGTCTAAAAGAAGGATTTTTCAATTCGCTACCGAAACTGTGGTAATTAAGTCCTGTAACTTTGATAGTAGTCAAAATATAAGGTTGCAATCGCTGAGAAAGTGAAAATTACGGTCGCATTATCGAGTGAATTTCGAGTTTACAAGTCTACCCAGAATCCATCGAAGCTAGCTAGCTAGGAGAAACACTGCAACAAACAAGGTAAGGACTTTTAAATTCTCGGAAAAATTATAAAATTTATACAGTCCACCCTCTTACAAGTACATTAAGGTGAAACAACTGCCTTAACATTGGTCCTTCGAAGCCAAATAAGGACATTAAAAATTTATAATTTATTATTATTTTTGGGCAGTTTGTAGTTTTCATGTTTCATAGCGATTGTAATTTTAATTAGTTTCGTAGTAGTTGTAATAGTCATATAATCGTGGCATTATCCACGTATTATTTACGTTGTATTAGCGGCAGTTTCCGCAAAAATATTTAAATTTTCCACAGTTTTTTCGAATTCATTTTGAGCATACTCATTGTTTATAAAAAACGCTAAACCAAGTGTACGGTGTGTCTCTGTCTCTCTCCCTTTCACATGAAACCGATTTATAGTTGTTTTGGAGGATAGTGCTTTAAAATACTAGGACTTCAGTGGTTTCCTTCATCCGATAGCTCTGCATTTTATAGTAGTAGTCAAGGTAATTTTAACCACACTAAACGATCAATTTTATCGGATATTGCCAGAATTTGGGATCTCTTGGGATTTTTACCTCCCTTGTTGTTCTTTGCCAAACATTTAATTCAGTTGTTGTGGTCAATTGGGATAGAGTTGGATGAAGCCCTCCACCTGAGGTCATTGCAAAATGGCCACAGTTAAGTCGGAACTTTGTTGCTTGAATGGAGTTAAAATACCTAGATATTTGGACATTAACTCATGTCAGCTTGAGCTCCATGGGTTTTGTGACAGTAGTGAAAAGGGTTATGCCTGTTGCGTTTACTTAAGAGCGATTTCTTCTGACAAATATCTGTTTCCCTGTTGTGTGGAAAATCCAAGGTTGCATCCTTAAAGAAAATATCCATTCACCGTCTTGAGCTGTGTGGAGCCCTTTTGTTAAGTAAACTCACTCATTTGATCCCAAACTCGTTTTGAATAATCTTTATGCTTGGTCAGATTCGACCATAGCTTTATCGTGGATAAAGTCTCCTCCATATAAATGGAAGACCTTTGTCGCCAATAGGGTAGCATTTATCCAAGAAAGTGTTGGTTCAGAGTGCTGGAACCATTTAGTTTCGGCAGACGTCGCCAGTCGCGGCGCGCTGCCAAAAGAATTAGTTGAACAAAAGAAGAGTGGCCAATCTCTAATTCAACATATCTCCTAATTTTGTTATAATAATAATAATAATAATAATAATAAACTTTATTACCCAAACTAAATAGAGACGTTA